AATGAATGAGGAGAAACTGGAAGAACTTTGAAGTTACGGCGACTGGGTTTGGTATTATTTCATGATGGATGGGGTTTGGATTTATAACTGGGTTGTTGCTATTTCTTGTGGGTTTTGTTTATTCTTGTGGGATTTCTAATAAGAAAGAGAAAGTTTAGGGTTGAGCAGTGAATTGTGTTGATTAATGAGTGTTGGATTTTGTGTTTCTAAGATTGGCTGGACATGCTTTTTTGATTTTAGTTGGTTTCCTTTCTGATTGGGGATTGGATTATATAAATGAACTTGTGTTTGTTCAAGGATGTTGTTGGGTAGAAGACTTCTACATCGATACTATCAACCATATATGATGCTTAAACGTTATGCTGGACTTTTTTTGGGCCATTTGGTTATCAGGACTTGAAATCTTGTTGAAAGAGGTTGAGTTTAGTTTCCGTTCTTTGACAATGAGAGTTGGGGTTTTTGGAACCATTTGTTTATTTGTTTATTTTGATATTTCAGAACTCTTTTTTTTTTCTTTTCCAATTCTTGGAATAAAATGCTAATTTTGATACATCTTTTTCTTTCCCCAGATGATCATCATCATCTAAGTCTTGTCACAACTATATGGGGCTGGCTACATGGATCTGCTTCACCATTCCATTTTATTCAATGCCATATTCATTGTTAAATTATGAGCCCTTAAATCATTTTTCACTACTTCAATCCGACCCATGTCCTTTTTGGTCTGCCAGAGATCACTTCTTACTGATACTGTAGAAAATCTTCTCCACACATGCCCAAACCATCTTCTGCTTTCCCTACTTTTATCAACTATTGGAACTACTTCTAGGTTCCTTTGAATAAATTTATTTCCAATCTTATCCTTTTTAGTTTTCCCACTCGTCCATCTCAACATTTGCATTTCTGCCACAACCATTTTTGGACATGTTGGTTTTTCCCTCTTCAAGATTAGTAGCGCAAGTATCTCTAAATATATGATGCATTTTCAAGATAATAAATGTGTGTTATTTCTTATCTTAGCTAAAAAATGGTCACTAGAGAAATGGCATGTTATCTATGCTCTTCTGATCTTCTCTCATTGAATGGAGGCCTTTTAGCCAATGATAGCTATCTGTTCCCTTTTTCTACTGTTGCATGGCTTTTGTCAGGAATATTCTTGAAAGATTTCAGGTTGTTGTTTTAAAGAACTTTCTCTCTGATGTAGTGGCCTTTCAAAAGCTTAAATCTCTCTCTCTCTCTCTCTCTCTCTCAACTAGGATTTTTAAAAGCTTAGTTGTAAATACAAACCTTTTTTCCTCCTTAGCCTTCCAACTGTGGTCATCACTCATATGTCTTTTTTGTTCCTATTGTTCCTCATTGTATTCTGGATTCTAGATGTTTTTAAGATGCAGAACATGTAGTATAGCTTTGCAAATTATATTATTAACTCATTTCCTTTTTTACTTGGTGGCCATAATCTGAGACAAGAACAAAGTGTTGATTTCAGTTAACCTTGAAAAACAATATTTGGGGTTTTATACTGTACTTGAACAAAGCTAAAAATAATTATTTTCTTATGATAATGGATAAGTTGCTTTATAAACACAATTTTTTTTCTTTCTTCTGTTGCAAATACCGGTTAAGTGTAACAATTCCAATTCTTCAAAATGGGAGGGTGTTGTTCATGCTGATATGCATGGCACACACCACTGATACTAACACAACAATGCAAACTTTTTCCCTCTTTTTTCTTTTCCTTTCCTTTTATTTTTCCTCTTTTTATCTTCAGTTATTTGTTTTCGCTTGTTACCATGGCCTTGTATTGGCCATCGTTTTTTTATCCTTGGTACCGTATTGGTTTGTGCTTTCTTGAAGGTCCAACTTTGTCAAGTTGTTCTAGTGAATAGAAAATAGGGTTAAGTTGCAATAGACCCCAGGGAACTGGTGATGTTATGAATTTACGATTTACTGGTCATTATGCTTATAATATTTCAACAAGATCTGATTTAAAAATTTATAGCTTTTTTGTCTCTCAATGAAACATTTTTCTGGGAGCTGACAGATTAGACATTTCTGGACATACCTAAAAGTTGTTGAATAATTTTCATGGATGAGTTCTATTTGTTTGCTTCCTTGTTCATGATAGCAAGGAGAAAAACATGAAAATTCTAGAATAAGAGACATATTAGATTGCTTTATAAAAGCATGACTTTGTGCCTTTAATTGATGGATTAATGTGAAGAAAAGGAAATAAATATGTTATTTTTAATTTCTGGTTGTCTTTGTAGCTCAGTGATTGAAACTGAGTTAAGAAATTTCGATTCAAGGAATTCCTGTTCTTGGTCTTCATATGAATTCCAGAGATGGGAACATGTCTACTTGGATGCCCACGTAAATGGGTAGGAACAATTGGTTTGGTGTGTTTTTGCAATTGCATATCATTCCTCCATATTCCACAGATTTCTCAAAGTCCTGTAGGAAAAACATAACTGGATTTCCCAGTCCTTCCTTTTAGATTCTCCAAAAGACCAAAACCTTGAAAGATATCCATGAATATAGAAGACATCACCTGATTTGCTCGCAATAAAAAAGTTAAACGTTTGTTTTTTTTTTCCATCAGAATCAGTAGTGCATTACAATCATGTTGTTGCTAGCTGTACAGGAAACTGAGCTGTGCTTGCAGGGATACATCCAAATACATCTCAGACATCCCCTTACCTACTCTGGATAAACTCACCATAGAGTTAACTGATCTCTGTATCCATCTCAATGAGATGTTCTCTCTCTAGCATTATTTTATTTAACAAAATAAAATTTATTAACAATCTAAAAGATTTTAATGCATTAGGGAGTATATTGAGATGTATTCTAGTATTATCTCATGTCAGTACACATAAAAATTGAAATGTATCATGGAAATATTATTAAAATATGCAGACGTTTTAAACCATATATGAGCATGGAAGCACCTTAACATTGGAAGAYTTTTCCTGAGAAATCTCAATTCAAGAAAGTAACTCTGCCAATTTGGTTTCAGGTTGGATTATTGCACTTAATGGATAATAAAATTAGACAGAAAGAGAAAGTCAAGATTTTTAACTAGTCAGATCTTCTGAATACAGATAACTTTGATTAAGTTGCACGTATGAAATAACTTTTAGTAGTAATGTATTGCTGTTATTTCTAATAAAATTTTACTTTACCTTCTTCTTCAAAAAAAAATCAAAATATCTTCTAGTTCAAATGCATATTTTCTTTGGGTACTGGAAATTTGATAGTTTAAGGAAACTGAAATCTTTGACTGAAGATAGAATCTGATTCTTATTATTGAACCCAATTTTATAATTACTTAGGAAAAGCAGATAGACTAATATGTATTCTATTTATTTCTAATTTGTATCTAGAGGTATCATAGGGGCCACGTTTTTGTACAATGGTAAAATCTAAGGCTGACAAGCATGAGAATGTGGGTTAAAGTTTGAGAATATCCACTTTGTGCTTAGGTACTAGAGAGGTTATGTCCATGTCCAGTCTATCCCTCTAAAGACCCTGGATGACTGGGGTGAGCATTTGAATTGGATAATACCTGGCTGGATTGGGTTGAGAACCATATTCAATACAATTATGAATGGATTGAATTTGGATTGCTTTAATCAGATGGAAATGGAATCTGAATTCAGATAACTGTATACGATTTGCGCCCTATGATATACCATATGGCTTAGCAAGATTAGGGTTCAATTGGAATAGAATATATACTTACTCCTCATTATCCCATTATTTTCTAATCTAGATCCTGTTAGTTATTATTTTTCTTCCACTAAATAACTATTGGACTATTTATGAACCTGATGTAAAAAATGTGTTACTGCATAAAGACAGATTGAGCAAGTAATGTAAAGAAACAATTAGAATTTGTTGCAGAATTGGAGTTCTCTAATATGGTTTGCAAGGAGCTGTCTTATGCATTGAATTTTAATGAAATGGTAACCAATAAAAAAATTTCATGGGGAAACAAACCAATTCTCCAATTCCTATTACCAAATTTCAGAGTTTTAGGGTTATAGCCTTATAGGATATAGTACAGTTCAGTAATTTATTTATTTTCCAGTTCTGGGTGTCTTAAGAATGGAGTTATATCTTTTAGATTTTATCGCTATTTCGAAAATTACTATTTATGGTAACTTTCAGACTTATTATTTATACTAATTCTCATAATTACTTTTTTTAGTAAACTCGTGGATTACTATTTTTAGTAATTTCTGGGTGTCTTTAAATTAAGTTAGTATTAGTAGGATTAGGGAAGTGTTATTAGAGTTTCTTTAGTAATTAGAATCCTAATTGGAGTGTCTTTATGGGTCATCTATTGATTTGTCTTAGTTCTAAAACAATTAGAAGTTGTTTTGGACTTTTGGGTCAGTTTCCTAGTCCAAAATGGAGTTCATAAAGGGTCATCCAAGCTCATGTATTGAGTCTATAAAAAGAGTCATTGTAATTGGAAAAAAGAGGAGAGTGATTTGATAAAATAAAGATTGGTTTAATGAATTCTGGTTGTTGCCAGAAGTTATCCTCTCTTTTCCCTCTCTCTCTCCTTATTTTAAGCTCTCTGTTTCTTGCTGTTTACCCCAAGAGCAAGAGTTCACCTCTTTCCTAATTTCT